TTATGCTTTCTCGAAAGTTTTGGTATGCTTTCCACATTTTTTCCTGCATAAGTTCAAAAATTTGAAAGTGGGCCTGGGAGTAGCCAGATCCTTAAAAAATTTCTTTTACAAAGCATTCGAATTGTTTCAAACCTTCATAATCTCACTCAATCACAAAAAACTCTTACATAGATTCACGCTTCATTGGGCCACTTCCGAAAATAATACGAGTTCTTTTCTACCCCCGCCCTTACACCATTGAAGGGTAGCTATGATGTAAAGATAAAACGTAAAAATTCTTTCTCCATCTATTCGTCCCATGCTTTTATGAATTTTGAGGAAAAAAATCTAACAAATGTTGATAAGGTTTTGCACCGTAAGATAAAATACAATTGGTTTTCTACGAAAGTTGTAGACCCATAATTTAGGTTTGGTAATGCTGCATATTTAAAACTTACCGATGCTGAGTCCTGTGTCCATTCAGAATCGGTAACGTTGAAAACAAAACATGTGTCACCTTCGGTTCCGTTAACTTGCAATTTGAAAGCACGCAAAAGAACCGAGTTGTCTAGAATTGTACTCAAATGTATTCACAAAATTCAACATAGTCAAAGGAAAATCTCGTACTTTTTGGGGGCCTTTGCCAGGAGATGTCCACGTGCAGCTGATGGCCCTCTTGTCTTGCCATTGCCTTGGCAAAAGCTTCAACTCGAACATCGTGGGCCTCTGGTGGCTCATGACCAGCTGCCACAGGTTCGAAGAGCTGCTCAGCGCAACCAACTGAAATTTATAATTTTTGCTCCTGTTTAGAATCTCGAAAATATGTGAGGTTCAGCGAACCCTGCGCAGATTCGTCAAGCTATCCCCCCCCCTCCTCTCCCTCCCTTATACCCCTATCCATGCCGTTCTCTGCAGCATTTGCTTGCGAAACTTGAGCGTGCAAAAGCTCAACTCGATGTAAATATTGGAAACAAGCGATCAAATTTCTAAAATGGCCGAGTTCTTTCTTAACATATCAGTTTTCAAAAGGGTATAGCTAGACTTGAGAGCATTTCAAAATTCAAAGGAATATGGTAGCAGAAGATAATATTTGCTGTCCAATATGGACAGCTTGAAAAAGATTAATTGGACCTAGCAAGATATTAGGCAGCGAAATTAATGACAAAGTATATTGGTACGAAAAATCGGAGAAGATATTCCTAATTTTACAACAGTTTCTCATAGAAAAAGAGTAGAATGTATGTCCTGTGAAGTTTCCCCATCATTTTTTTGTATCTCCATACGATTTTTGAAAATCTCGACGTTTTTAGGGTAAAAAATTTGCACATTTTCCGTATGTACTTATTCCTTACATACTTTGATTGCATTTTTCTTTTATCGCCATTTTTCTTCTATTACCTTTACTAAAATTCCCTTCACCATATATACTGACAAAGAACGATCAAACTCAGAAACTCTTGGACTGAAGAGTCTCAGATTTACTGGAGCGAAAGTTTCTCTCAATGCAAAAAGATGGAAATGATAAATTAGGGTGCCGGGTAGTTTGAAAGTCATAAAAAGAAGCACATAGGGACAGCACGACATAAGGATGGTGTTCGAAAGACCTCTAAAAAGGGCATAAGTTTGGATTGATGATAATTTTCGTCGGACTTATTCTCGGACTACGATGCAAAATTTTTTTGTTCTCAAATAAAGCATACGTATCAAACTGCTAAGGTCTGAGCCTGCAATTAAGTAAAGAGCGTAGCCTTCATTTGCATCAATTTGGACTTTCACCTAGTGACTCATTGGCTAACTTTGGAGTTTCTTTGTATTGGCTAACTTATTTTTGACTACAAATTAATTCGATGAGCATTTTATACAACAAGCACATGAATTATAGAGACCTCTGCTGCATATCATCAATTTCTCTCTTGCAAAAGGCAGGTGGCAAAAGCAGATTGATAGGCTGCATAAAAACATAAGTTTGTGAATTAATCATAGCTCAGAGAACGATCACACCGACGCTAATGGCCACAGAAAATGCAAGGAGCTTAAAGGCTAGCATGTGACTGCCTGACTCACCGACATGAACCGAGCAAGCAATCTCCTTATTGTGAGGATCCGAGCAATCCGATTGGAAATTTGTCACCGCATTGTTTGCAGATTTCAGCTTATCCGTTAGGTTAGTGAGAATAGTGGCATTATCCCAGTCCTGCTGTACAATGTCAGCCGTAGGAAGTTCAAACGCAATTTCTGACGACGAGGTGTCCGTCACATTTGCTGCGTCAGCGACGAGACCAAGAAGAAGTAGCGAGAGTATGACAATCATTATCTGTACTGCATCCCTGGTAACTTATCTGAAAAAAAAAAGACTGGTTTTGCAAATTTATAGGAAAAATCGATAATCGATTGGCGAGACACAAAAGATGGGTAGAAATGTGAAACTGTAAAGCTGTGCAAGCTAGAAATCTTATCGCCACATCGGAAGCTTCGGCGAAGAGCAAGGAAGGGAGGCTGAGGTACAGATTACTCAAAAATAAGATATTCCAATGAGGAGAAAAAGAGAATGTTATGTTGTGTATTTGCACACCTTTGGTACATTATAAAATGGTTTCTTATAATCAAATCATTTCTTCAAGCAGAAAATGAGAAAAAAGGTAACGCAGAACCAATAGAATTACATCACTTTACAAATTTTGTACATAGTATGCAAGATTCAAGCAAGATTTATAATAGAAGGAAGTTTTGCGCTTCCTACAAGGATTGCGCACTGACTACTCTTAAAATTGAAACATCTAGTGACACTTTAACCTCCAATTCTTTATTTATCAAAATTTTCTTATCTTCTTTGCAACTCTTTTAGATTTTCCATGGACTGCTTAAAGTACCAGCGGTACAATAAGATAGGTTGGAAGTTTGAATCTTCAGTAACTTG